TTTCGAGATGGATTAAATTTGGATCAGCAAAGTTACTGTGGCTAAATTTCAACATGTACACAAATTAATCTGAAACGATGCACTTAATGTGGTTTGCAGAAAAAAAAGATAGAAACCGTAGAAAGCAAATAGTACCCATCTTCTGTGCTAGATTTAAAACATTTCATTTTGCTCAAGAATGAAGAAATCTTACATTTTTATCATTGGATCTCTATTTTTTAGACTTCTCCAGAATCTCCTGGTATCTTTGTATTACTACAGAAAGTATTTCGTGGTCAGAGTTTAGAAGATTTAAAGAAAGTAGCTAGTGACAATGGTATTAATGAAGAAGAATTCCAGGTCGGTTTAGACAGTATTTGGTCCGTGGTTGACAGGAATAAAGAATTAGACTAACAAACTTGTCTTTTGTGTTAAGCAAAATTCACGAACTAAAGACTAAGACAAGCTTACATAACATGTTTTGCAGCCGGGTTCGTTGTATTTAGTTGTCTGATCTGCTCATAAAAACAAAAAAAAAGCAGCAAAGAGATGAAGACTTGTGATAAGAGCTGAGACAATATCTGAATGAGATCCAAGCCAATATCTGAATGAGAGCCAAGACAATATCTGAATGAGAGCTAAGACAATATCTGAATGAGATCCAAGACAATATCTGAATGAGATCCAAGCCAATATCTGAATGAGAGCCAAGACAATATCTGAATGAGAGCTAAGACAATATCTGAATGAGATCCAAGCCAATATCTGAATGAGAGCCGAGACATTACCTGAATGTGAACCATTATCTGAATGAGAGCCAATATCTGAATCAGAGCCAATATCTGAGTATTCCAATGTATATGAATCGACAGAAAATAGTATCAAATGACTTGATGTTCCTTTGTCCCCATGAATGCCACAAAAAAACAAGAATTGCTCATTACAATGATTATTGGTTTTTATATGCATACTATTAAATCTTCAGGCGTTCCTCATATATGCTGCTGGTTTCTATGCCAATATGGGTAATTATAAATCTTTTGGTGACAGCAAATTTGTTCCAAGAATTTCAAAGGTATGAGAATATTAATTGTTATATGCCGAATATTGGGTATTTTGTTATCAATGAGGCCCAAGAGGGCAAATATACTCTTCATTCTCAGCTATATAAATCTGTTATTGTACAAAATGAAATGAGTCTTATGTCCTAATTTTCTGCATCTAATAGGGCAATGCCATGCAGTGTGCAATGAGGGAAATTTTGCCAGGACAGTGGCATTAGGCTTCTATATACTTAACATGCACAGTCTGTAGCACACAAGGCCTCTGTTTATTGTCCCATTCAATTGACTAGATGCTTTTTCAAAAACAAAATGATCAGAACAAGGTAATGAAATGAGTTATAAAGTGATCAATCGCATTATCACTTGAGGATTTGAATATTTATCATCATAAAATATTCCATCAAACTTTAATGAAAATGAAAATTGAATTTCAGGAAAAGTTTGAAAAGATTATTCTGAATAGTGAAGCTGCTAAGAAGGATGGTAAAATTATTCAGGGTCTGTGGAATCGAGTATCAGATAGAATATTCTCTCTAGAAGACAAACAGAAAGAATTGGGATTAGGAGACAAGGTACTGTCATCACACAAACTGCCTTCCTGGAAATTAATGTCTAAATTTTGGCTGCATATTACCATTGGTAAAAACAAGGTTTCAAAATGATATTAATTCACTAATATTTCGAGTTACTAACATATTCAAAAAATTTTTTTAATGTGTTTTCTCATGCTTGTATTGAAAATTTTTTCAAAAGTATTTGTTCCATCCTGCTCCTCTACATTTGCTAGAATCAGTCTATTTAATAGTTGGTGGAAAAAGTATGTGTATTTTACTATTTTAGGGAACAACTACATATTTTTCTGGTAATTGTGATAAAAAAGATGCAGACATTACTCAAGAATTCCTTAACAAAATGGTAAGTTTTATATATAATCTTTCTTTCAAAGAAAACTTTATTCACATAATCACATTCTGCAAATGTGGATACAAACAAATTTTTGGGGTGTAATAGGTCCAGGTGATTGCTCCAGGGGTGTGAAGGCTGAAATAGGTTGGGAACCACTGCACTATGAACTTGACATTTTCTCATGTGATTCATCATCAAAGAAAAAAACCTGCAAAACAGGGTCGGAGTCAGGGTCAAAAAAGATGATATTGAGTAAATATTGAACAAATGTGTTTTTAAATTAAATTTTAGGATATAAGTGCCTATAATACAAGATTGTTTAAAACTGAAGACCCTAGTACTAAGATACCAAGATATGAAGTTCGTTTGGCATCTTCTGATACTCAAGGTATAAAACTCTTTGAGTTAAAGTTGAATACAAAACTATAAATCATGCACAAGAACAAGAGTATCCCTTTTATGTTTATGAGAAGGGACAGTACACATTAAAATAAGTTCACTGCATTTGTGTCTAAAAAATGATTCTTTCAGTGCCATGATAAAAATCCTAGATGATGGCGATGATATAAATTCTAGATGATGGCCATGATATAAATCCTAGATGGTGGCCATGATATAAATTCTAGATGGTGGCCATGGTATAAATCCTAGATGGTGGCCATGGTATAAATTCTAGATGGTGGCCATGATATAAATTCTAGATGGTGGCCATGATATAAATTCTAGATGGTGGCCATGATATAAATCCTAGATGGTGGCCATGATATAAATTCTAGATGGTGGCCATGATATAAATTCTAGATGGTGGCCATGATATAAATTCTAGATGGTGGCCATGATATAAATTCTAGATGGTGGCCATGATATAAATCCTAGATGGTGGCCATGATATAAATTCTAGATGGTGGCCATGATATAAATTCTAGATGGTGGCCATGATATAAATTCTAGATGGTGGCCATGATATAAATTCTAGATGGTGGTCTTCTTATT